AGGAACCTTTTCCTTATTATATACTATTCAAAAAAAGTAGGGGATATTTGATTTTGGGGGCATAATACTAAAATATGCAAATGACTACGAAAAAAGTCACTATAGAACCTAACAGAAGAAACATTTCCAGTTACATGTGACGCCCAAACGCACCAATAGCTACCGCATGGAATGCAGGTGATGCTTGGGATCATCATGGGGGTCCAACCCAAGATTTGCACGACTCTGACTTTGAATGTTACAGTCACTGTGGCATTGAATTCCAGGGTGGAAACATCAGTTTAATTGTTTTAGTGACCAGAAAACAAATTTTGATATGCGTCGGCTTACCCAAAATGAAAGGTTACGTGCCCTTGGCATGCTACAGATCGGCACAACACAGGCGGTTGTGGCGCGGACGATGAATGTTTCTCAGTCTGTCATAAGCAGGCTATGGTCCACATACCGTGATACACAATCTGTACAGGACAGACCACGCTCAGGTCGACCAAGGGCGACAACTCAAGCCCAGGATCGATTTATCCGTACCTTGGCCTTGAGAAATCGTGTCATCACAGCAAATCAGATCAGCGCTCGTCTTCAAACAGACACTGGTGTGAGAGTGAGTGGCCAGACGATTCGGAATCGACTGCATAGGGGTCACCTTCGCGCCCGACGTCCTCGCGTGATCCCTTGTTTGAGAGATCATCACATTCAGGCAAGACGTCGTTGGTGTAAGGATCGTCAACACTGGGATAATCGACGCTGGAGCAATGTGATGTTTTCAGATGAGTCAAGGTTCACTGTTGATTTTTTGGACAGACGTAGGAGGGTGTGGCGTCGTCGAAATGAGCGCTTCCAAGACGTTAACGTCATCAGACATGATCGATTTGGGGGTGGTTCTGTTATGGTGTGGGGAGGCATCACTGTTGCTGGAAGAACGGCTTTACATGTTGTTGCAGGGCGTGTTACAGGCCAGTACTACCGGGACAACATCTTGGCAGTCCATGTTGTGCCGTTCGCACGACGTCATGGCCGCCGTTTCATCTTCCAGGATGACAACGCAAGATGTCACAGGGCCAGGATCGTTACAGGTTACCTCCAACAACAGAACATCACCACATTACCTTGGCCAGCACTGAGTCCCGACCTCTCCCCCATCGAGCATGTCTGGGACATGCTTGGACAGAGGTTACGTCAACGTCAACAACGTCCTGCCAATGTCCAAGAACTTGCTGCTGCGTTGCAACAGGAATGGGACAATCTGGACCAAAATGACCTTAGACGTCTCATTAGGAGTATGCCACGTCGGATCAATGCTTGTTTGGCAAACAGAGGAGGATTTACCCGTTACTGACTTGGTTGTGATGCTGTGGTAACTTTGCTGTTTGACCCCGGGTATCATTTTACCCTTATACTGGTCAGTCTGTGCCTTACTTAGTCTAACGATCATTTGGAATAAATCGATGAATGTAAACTTCATTTCATTTTGTCATTTGTTTCTTCGTCGGTTTCATTAGGTGACTTTAATAACACTTAAAAATCAAATATCCCCTACTTTTTTTGAATAGTATATGTCAATATATATAGATGCTTTGTATAATTTACTATAAACAGTTTTTGTTTTGTTTTGTTTTGTTTGGAGTGGACTGGTGTAGGTTTGTGAATAGGTTTGTGCAGGGACCAACTGCAGTCCTTCGGCCTCCATCGTCATTAAGTATACATGACATGATGAGAAAACGAAACTGTCTTGATCCATCTTTCCTGCACTCTGACTTTTTCTCATCGGATTTAGGCCATTATGTTTTTCAATGGATCCAAACATTAATGTATTTTGAAAAGAAATATATAGTTAATGCACATAAAATAACCCTTATTTCAATAAAGATTAGGCAAAAAGCCCGCTCTCCGGACAAAATGTCACTCACATAATACCATCTTGCGATAGCCCGTGTGGTGCATAAAAGTAATGCATTAAGCCCCATGCCAATTAATTTTGTTCGACCACTCCACTCCTTGTCAGTGGTGCAGGATGGAGGGCCATGCAATGGACAGTGTATAGTTGTTCGGATGGGATTAAAAACCGAGGTTATGTGTACGTAAAAGAACCCTTGACAGTTGGAAACCGATATACAAGAAAACAGTACAGTGCTGCTGTTCGGGCAAAATAACCCTCATCATAGCACACTGTATGGCATATGTCCGACTTCTTTATAGTGCAGTGGTTGAAGAACAGTAGGACGTTAAACCCCATTTCATTTCAGACCACTCTGATATGCTGTATCCAGCCGTCACCATGAGGTACAAGTGAACCATGGTAAACGAATGAATAGACATATGATGTACATCAACATAGTTGACATATCATGTTTTCTATAGACTTGATACATCTAAACATACATGTAACTAATGATTCACAGACTAGTCCTACTTCATGTGGGTATTTCTATTTCAAATTCAATTACAGACCTGCATGTCAACTTATTATACATGTACATGTATTTCAAATCTCATTACATATCCGCGGGGTGGCATTTTTAAATTCAAACATCATGAATTAGTGCTACTGAAATAAAACTAGAAACTTTCCCAGTGCACAGGTTAAAAGGTTACGTTATTACCCTCGAAAGATCGACTAGAATGTCCTGGGTTCGATTCCCAGCATGGGTCGTGTAGAAAGCTGAGTTTTAAAAAAACATTAGTAATTCTAGAAATGAAATGGGATTTAATATCCTACCGTTCTGCACCGATTGGGCTAATGAAGACAGGCATACACCATACAGTGTGCTATGAGGGAAATTTTGCCTGGATACAGGGTACTACAGCCTACTCTTATATGGAATTCCAACTGTCAAGATTTCACGCCAATGTGTACAAGGGACCTGGGTTTTTCATCCCATCAGAACGACTATATGTTGTCTTTCTGTCCAGCACCTCTGATATTGGGAACTACGCAGGAATCGAAGATCTTACTCACTGAACAACTGTGGCTCCCAAAAAAAGAAACATATTTAAACGGCAAGGGATATGTTTTCACAAAGGTGCAAGCTTATGATTTGCGCCCGGGTAGCAGGGTTTCTGTAGCCTGTGTACATTTTTCTTTTTCTTAGATTAACATTGTATTAAATATACTGTCTATGATTTTGTAATGTCAGATGGATAATTTTGACTGGGCAGCGGCATTTGCCTACTCTCTTTGGAATTCTGTCAATGGACCTTTCAAGTGAATTGGCAATCTGTGTATAGAGCGACTTGCTAAAACATTGTTCAATTCTATCAGATGTGTTGTTTTTAGCTAGGATTGGAGGCATAACATTTACGCTTGCAAACTCATTTTTTCTCTTTCTCGAGCGTGCCTAGTTTTCTGGATGGGGCGAAAACCTGAGCTCCACAAGTGTATGGTTATTATTTCTACAAAGAGCTAAATATATCATTTATGTACAAAGACAATAAAGTTGTTGGTACTAGGTTTTTTTATGAAACAGGCAACAGGTAGTATAATTAACACAGGTGCATAATTGGTTGCGATAATTAGGTCATGTCAGGTGGGTTTTTGTTTCTGGTGGAAATGGTAATATCTCCACCAACTCTTGGTTAATGACACAATATATACCCCACACAATAGACTACATTTTGTATGAGGGACATTGTGCCCAGACAGTGGCGCTACGTCTATTCTTATGGCATACACAGGACCTTGTTGTTACATGTAGGTCCCATCCAAAGAACAATATATTTATTCTAGCCAGGCCCTCCGTCCTGCCCACTGGCCAGGTTAAACCGGATGGCAAAAATCGCGAGGAACTTTCTCACTGACCAGGCAATCACGTGGCTAAGTGAGTATGACGCTGGCTCGTTAGCCTGGAGGTCGGGTGTTCGATCCCTGCATTGGCCGAGAAAGTTCATTCAGATTTTCCAGCATGGTTTCCCCTTGTCAGTGATGCAGGATGGAGGGCCTGACAAGGACAGCTGTCTAGTCGTTCGGATGGGACGAAAAACCGAGGTCCCGTGTACACATTGACGTGCATGTAAAAGAGTAGGCCGTAGGCAAAATTTCCCTCATGGCACACTGTATGGCATATGCCCGTCTTCATTAGCCCAGGTGAGGAGCAGAACAGTAGGACATTAAACCCCATTTCATTTCATTTCTCACTGACCGCGGGACGTCAAGGTAAGTGTCATACTTACTGAGCCACAGTGGCTCCAATAAAACAAGGAGATAGTACATCTGACTTAGGTGTCTGTTTTTGCTACCCAGGAAAAATACAAACATAGCCATTGATTAGAACATTAAACCATCTTCAACATCCACCAAGTTCATATTGGTATGCTTACCATATTTCAAACACCCAGTAACACTTTTCAAGTAGGATTTGTAAAGTTCATGTTGCTCAGGATTTTGGTTTTAAACTGACGGTTAGGACAGACCCTATATGTACTTGTTGTACATGAACGTATTTTGATGGTTTTTTCCGAGGATAATGTAGCCTGGTTTTCCTCGGTGATCAGGATGGAGAACCCTGGCAAGGAACACTGTCTAGTTGTTTGAATGGAACAAAAAAAAAACCAAGGTCTCCAAGTGTACTTGGCGTGAAGTAAAAGAACCAACCCTCTGTCTAGTCATTCGGATGGGATTAAAAACGGCATGAGGTCCCTTGTACACATTGGCAAGCATATAAAAGATAATTAACAGTTGGAATTTGATATGTAAGAGTAGGCCGTGGTGTTGCTGTCCGGGCAAAATGTCCCTCATAGCACACTGGATGGCGTATGCCCATCTTCATTATTCCAGTCGGAGCAGAACTGTAAGACGTTAAACTCATAGCACACGACATGTAACCGTCATCATTATCCCGGTTTGCATGAAAAATTAGCACATTAAACCTCATTTTATTTCTTTTCTATGAGATTTATTGTGTCGTGTGATAACATGACGGACGGATGGACTTGCGGGCCAAAGAACCCATTCTTTAAACATAATACAATTAACGGTTAGATATCAAACATCATTTAATACTCACGTGCTTTGCATGGATCCATATATATATCATTTGAAGTTCTATGCTGCACGAGTTGAGCAGTTGTAAATATTCCAGTATGTCCAGAAATATCAAAATCACAGAAAAAGCTGATAAATAGCAAGAATACGCGATTTATATGCGGCACCATATTGAACAGTTTAGTATGGAAATGTTGGTTAAGTGTTGCCGACTTCCTCAATTTACGACGTCTAACGCTGAGTTACGGTACCAAGACTCTGTTACACTGTGCCTTTTATGATATCAACAATCTTGTAAGTAAGTACAATGTGTACTTTCTACTGTTATATATACGCTGTTCGACTGTGGTATATTGCATGTAAACTAAGATGTTATTATTACCCGTAAAATAATTAATAATAGGCCTAATGCTAAGACTAGATTTAATTGTATCACAAAATTTCTTCGTTTTTCGGATTAACGTGTCCAATTGTTTATCGTTCCTTAATATAAAATAGAGTTTTAACGTTTTTGAACAATACGTTACGTTCGAACGCTTCTAAGCTAAAGATATAATGTTAACGTTGCTAAACACGTTAGTTTTCAGCGTTTATTGACGATGGGCAATAAACGTTTCGAAGAACCACTTCACGCGTTAACGCTTCTACCGCTTTACGTACAACTAAATATAAGCCAAATTGCTGATAGTTATAGTTTATTATTTACTACCGTACTAGTATACTATAAGTTCCCTTTGATGATCGAAACCGTGTTATGTCTGCAGTGTATTAGTAAAATCTACGTTTCATAAAACCGACGTTTCCCTTCGACTAATATTGAACTTCTCTCGAACTCCTCTCTTGACTTATTGAAGCCTGCATTAAAATCAGTGTTTATATAGTAAATTATACACACGACAATATCCTATGTGGTTCTTTTCACTTAATTTACATATATGATTTACGCACCCACATTGGTCGTTTTTATGAATGAGTAAACTCGATAGACCTCCGATTACACAATTACAAACTTTTATAATACAAGGACGGATATGGTTGAAATCTTTTGATCACAAAATCTACCCACGTTCACTGGTCCAAGTCATCCTATATAATAGTTCCGTCTTGACAAAAATTCACTCTTACAAGCAGGTTTGTGGTGCAGCCTTTTCAGGCTGTTTATAAAACTAGCAGACGACTCTTCATCGAACGCTGTCTCGGTCAGCTGAAACTCATCAGACGCTGTAAATAATAATTACTAACAACCAATCAAAATCCTCTGGAGGCGTGGCTTATAAGATTCATAGCGTATCTAATCATTTTATTAGACGCTCCAATAATATTAATAGACTCGCCTCCCCAGACGTTATTGTAATTACGTTACGGTTCAGTTAGTTGAAAGGTAATACGATTGTTGTTACTGTAACCGGTCTGGATAATGTATCTACCAATGATCGCTGTTGATCAATGAAACTAATTTCGTCTTCTTCTCTTGTGATTAGTAATTGCACGTAAAATAATCTCACCAGAAATAAATGTTACAAATCATAACGATTTAGCTGCGGTAGTGGTATTTGCGACGAAGTTGTACGTTAATTCATCAAGTGGTTTTTCCTTATCAATTCAAATCAAAGTCTAAACTTCAAGCTACCGGTATCAATAACGACGATAATCATACACGAGGCATTTTATGCTTACTCTTTTTTTAGAACACATCTTATTATTTCTTATCGGGGAGTCTGTAAGGTACACGTGTGCTGCGAAAAGGAGAAGGGTTATATGTTTCTTCGCAGCTGTATCTTTGACGACAGCAGTACACATGCACGAGGCATTCCGTACTTACACTTTTAAAGTCAATTTTAGTAATTGAGTGTTTGTAAAACGCATTGCCTATTGCGTAGAGATTCGCGTTTCTGCTCGTATACTAACCGCCAAAATACCAAGCGTAAAAGTTGATGCAACTGAGAAACTAAACCCTGTCCGGTTACGTCAAATTGTAGGGGGATTTCCCTGACGGGATGCTTGCTGGGCCACGTAGAACGCCGAGAACACTTACGACGTTTCTTAAGGAGTTTTAACGTACGTTTCCGTGTAGGTTATGATTAGGGGTGAGTGAACCACGGCGTCGCACACGATTTACTACATTTGGCCCCTTTCGAGACTGAAGACTGTCGTAGTTGGTCAAGACAGTTGCGTATTACGTATTGAAACGATATTAAGAGAATTTCGATGGTCTACACAACACGCACATGTTTTCATTATAGCACAAAGTGTTACATACGTATTTTCGTACCACCCGGACGACTAGACAATATTGCTTGGCAACTCCTCCGCCCTTCCTCACTGATAAGAGGAAAGCACGCTGGAAAATCCCGAGGAACTTTCTCGTCCAGCCCCGGCATCGAATCGGGGACCTCCTGGTTAGTGAATCAACGCCTTACCATGGGTGGATCCATGCAGGAAATTTGGCATTAGGGGGTCTGTCAGGTTCCTGAGACAATGTATTTTTTTTTCGGGGGGGGGGGGTCTTCCTCGCCCCCGGTTTTCGTTTCTCAAGGCCGGTTTCCTCTTATATAGGACATCCATTGTTAAGGAAATTTGACAGTTGACAATGCATGATGCCATCATCGTGTCCAAATTATGTAGGAATACCATGTTTGACGTCAATTTTTATTATAAATTGATACCACCACATTGATGCAAAGCATTAATTGTTTATCTCTATATCATTATCTCGCATCTCACTATCTGATGATAAAGGATAAAGAACACAACCTTGAGACTTTTCTCATAAAAACTTTTATTTTACAACTTTTTTTATATAGCTGAGAAGAGGGAGGGGGAGTGTTACTCTTGGTAAGGAACTAGGTTTGAAGCTCACTTAGATTCCACACCATTTTAAAATTTCCTCTGGTGACTTACACGTTCTACTACAGAATGGACGGGTGTTTACGCATAAGGATCACCTCTTAAATACCGCTGAAGCATTAACTAGGTACCAAGCAGTGATTGAGCATCTTTGTGCCCCAACAAAAAATTGTCATAATCCTAGCCCAAAATAATCATATTTTTGTATTTATGTACTAAATATTACTGTCTTTTAGGGTCAATGGTCAAAACATAATTTTGGAACTATATAACAATTGGGCTTGCCTCCAAGATTTACACAGCTTAGGACCCCACCGCGTATAAATCCGACACTGAGAGTACGGATCATAATCCTTAGTTTTAAAAAAATAAATGTCTCTTTATTCGCTACGCTGAGAGGGGCCATCACAAGAGAAACAAGGTAGCCAAGAAGTGGCCATCATTTTGAACCAGAACTTTTTCTATACACTTGGGAATCTTCTTGTTCTTGGGGCGACGATCTTCAAGAAAGGTGGAGGCTCCGCCAATTTGAACGCGAACGATTCGAAACTTGGCAACTGTGTTCTGTCAATAATTGCTCATGGATGGGCAACCTTTTGATATGATGTCAGAATTCCAGGATGGCTGGTTCCTGGATCATATTGCAGCCGTACTTGTTTTTTTCCACAGTAATTCCCCTGAATAGTGTGCTGAAACCGGAGATCCTAGATCCTATAGAAACAACACGAGGTTTGACAGTCGACCTTACTCCGTGTCACCTGAATACGTATCGCAATCCTAGATGACGCCTACAAATAGAATGATCTGCAGAGCACATGTTAGGTCACATAACCCCACAGAAACTATGATAAACCGTGACAGGCCAGTAGACAGACCGCATTGTCAGGGGGCGAGCTAGATTTGCGGAGGGTCAATTAAATATCGATGATAATAATTCAGGTTCAGAGAATTTATGAATATGCTACCTAATTTAGTTGTTGAAACTAATAGTAGAACAGATCACAGATATCATGTCATGAGAGAGAGATAATTCAGTCTAAAAACACCGAAGCAAAAAACAACACTGAAGCAAAATTGACATTGTGTTCCATTTCGTAGTTGTAGCTGGTTCTAATGCGTTATATTCAGAAACCTATCCATTTTTATTCATTTCAAAGTATCGTCCTCTCTGTGGATCTGGATTGCGTCATTGTTTGGAAATCAAGTATTTGTTGAACGAAATTTGCGAGAAAGGGTTGAAAATGAAATTGGAGACTTTTGGCAAGGGGACCTTTTCCCATCCGTATCACGTATCCGTATCGTCACGTGATACGTTTCATCAATGTAGTTTTAGAGTTTGGGCAGATTTTCGTGCCGCGTATACAGGTATGAGTAGCTGAGCTGAGCTTAGTTCTATTACAGCATGGTGGCAGTTATCTACCAAGATCACCAGTAGTACTAGTCAAGTGCCTAGCCTAGGGAGTGAAGTCGCTCGACAGTCGCTGAGCTATGAAAACAAAATTATGTCGAATCTTATTTAAAAATCTTCGACGTCGACTCGACAGCAATGTTTGGTTTCACTAATGTATCATTTCAGAAAGTTTACACCCCTTTACAATAGAATCACATCATTTACAGATTTGCAAGGTCCCACCGACAGACAGACAGACAGGAAAAATATGAAAATTTCGAGAATGCATCGAGCTTGATTATTGATCGAGATCTGAGCGACCTGGGAGTAAACTGTGAACAATGACCGATTCTTCCGGGTTGGGGATGGGGTTGGGGTCAGTCTGTCTTTTTTGGGCGAGTGTTCCACCCCACCCCCCACCTAACTGCCGCTATAGGCCAGAATCGAGAGGGTTTCTTAGAAATACTTGAGATGAAAAGTGATTTAACGTCCTACTTATCTGCACCGACTGGGCTAATGAAGACGGTCATACGCCATGCAGTGTGCTATGAGGGGCATTTTGCCCGAACGTAGGGTTCTTCTACGTAAACAACAACAAATACACGAGTGGATCTCGGTGTTTCGTTTTTCACCAAACCGAATGACAAGACGCCCTTTCCTGCCAGGTCCTCGTCCTACTACATTGACAAGGGAGAGAGAGTTTGACACAAACTAAGTCATTTCGGGACAAACATATGGTTCAATTATATTTCAATAATTCGCTTGCGCGTAGGTGTCTTTAGCAGTTAGAGGAAACCAGAAGACCCGGAGAAAACCGACGAGGTCGGAAGGAGACACTACTCCTTGTCACCACATAGAAGCGGGGAATCGAAAACACGTCACTTGACTCAATGACCGACCTTACGATCTAACGCGCACGCCTTAACACCCCACCCCTCACCCACTCCACACACACTGACAAGGAAAACCAGACTGGACAATCGCGAGGAACTTTATCGGCGAAATGATTTTTACGATCTATAGAAAAGAGACTATATCTATGCATAAACCACGAATCTTCATTGAACTTTAATGAATTCAAGGAGTATGTAATTAATCAATTTATTATGCGAAGGTCATGCAGGTTACAAGCTAATTTGTGTCCGAGGTCAATGTCCTCACTGCACGTTAACTCAAATCTTTAATTAATCTTTAAGTCTTAAAGGGGCATTAACGCTTCCCACGATCTTGGGTGGTTGCCAAGTTTCCATTGCACGCGATTAGATATCAAAATTGATGTTCGAATGTATGCAAAATTTTAAAACAAATCTGTCGAGCCAACAATGACATAGGCCTATAGACGAAATAAAATAGGGTTTGACGCCCTACTTTTCTGCACAAACCGGGATATTGGAGAGGCAACCTCCGTTTTTCGTCCAACCCGAGCGAATAGACTCCGTTCCTTGCGATATCCACCTCCTTCATCGCTGACAAGAGAAAACCACGCTGGTCAAAGCCGACATTTATGGAAATATAACTGAACAGTGCCTAAAAAAGGGGGTTGGGTGGTCTAATGGTTTAACGCATGCGCGTAAAATCACAAGGTTTGTCATTGAGTCAAGTGGCGGGAGTGATAAGGAGTAGGGTCGCTTGTCCACCTCGTGGGTTGTCTCCTCCCACAGCTAGAGACCCCTACGTGCAAGCGTAATGAAATAAAATTGAACCATGTTAGTCCCGAAATGACCAAGTTTGTACCACTAGAATTCATCAATGAACTCTGGGACCCACATTTCCTCTGCCTACCCAGGTCGACTGCTATTAAACTTTATCAAAGTATATTAAACTTTATTAAAGAATGATATCGCGGAGGTTAGGGAAAAGCTAAGTTTGTGAGACGTTGGCTTGCTAACATGGAGGTCCCGTGTTCGATCCCTGCATTGGCCGAGAAGGTTCATCGATAATTGTTTCGGCGTGGTTCCCCC